AGGAGGAGGAGGAGGAGGAAGAAGAGGAGGAGGGAAAGATGAAGCAGAAGATGGGGGGGGGGGGGGAGTTTTTGTAGAACCAAAACTCTAAAACAGAAATTTGTATTTACAAATTTTCTAAAGAAATGTACAAATAACTTCAATTTTGCCACTAGTAAAGGCAATATCAATAACAGACATAAAAAACAACTACAAAACCATATATTTTCTCTCTCTCTCATGCATGCAATATTGCCCATAAGGGAAAACTGAACTCTTATGGTATGGAAGCACAGGGAGACTTAAATAAATCCTTAATAAATAGCACTGGCAGATAAAAAGGATCAGGAATGAATGTGGTGATTAATTAAATTAATTAATTTTATATGAGTAGAAATACAAAGTTGTAAAACATTAAAAAGAGTTACAATCTTAATTAAGATGACTTGCATAACAACATATCTGTACAGAGAATGAGAAATATCCAGTAGATAGACGAAGAAGAAAAATCAAAGAACAGGGAGAAGGAGAAGGAGAAGGAGAAGGAGAGGAAGAGGAAGAAGAAGAAGAAGAAGAAGAAAAAAGAGGAGGAGGAGGAGGAGGAGGAGGAGGAGGAGGAGGTGGAGGAAGAGGAGGAGGAAGAGGAGGAGGAGGAGGAGGAAGAGGAGGAGGAAGAGGAGGAAGAGGAGGAAGAGGAGGAGGAGGAGGAGGAGGAGGAGGAGGAGGAGGAGGAGGAGGAGGAGGAGGAGGAGGAGGAGGAGGAGGAGGAGGAGGAGGAGGAGGAGAAGAAGAAGAAGGAGGAAGTGGAGGTGGAGGAGGAGGAGGAGAAAAAAGAAGAGAAATAAAAAGAGGAAGAGATAGTAGAAGAAACAGAAGTAGAAGTAGAAAAAGAAGAAGAAGAGAATGAGAATAAGAATAAGGAGAAGGAGGAGGAGGAGGAGAAAGAGAAGGAAAAGAAGAAGAAGAAGAAGAAGAAGAAGAAGAAGAAGAAGAAGAAGAAGAAGAAGAAGGAGAAGAGGAAGAAGAAGAGGAGGAAGAAGAAGAGGAAGAAGGAGAAGAGGAAGAAGGAGGAGAAAGATGAGGATGAGGATGAGGAGGAGGAAGAAGCAGAAGAAGAAGGAGAAGAAGATGATGATAATGATGACAATAATGAGGAGGAGGAGAAAAGAAGAAGAAGAGGAATAAAAAGAGGAAGAGATAGTAGAAGAAACAGAAGTAGAAGAAAAAAAAATGAGAATAAGAATAAGAATAAGAATAAGAGAAGAAGAAGAAGAGGAAGAAGGAGAAAGAGAAAAAAAAAGAAAAGAGAAATACTTAGAGAAATGAAAGTCTTACCTCATTTCCATACTCTGGAGCTAAAACACAGTTCTTCTCAAGCTCAGTGAACTGTTCAAGCGTTATTTGAACAATGAAGAAGTGTAGGACCATGTTCTTTCTTGTTTCTAACTGCAAATCAGAGCATTAAAAAATAACACCAAATGCACTGACTGAGGTACAATGAAATTTAAGAATACTCTAATGAAATATGTAAATATTTTTCATGCCTAATTAACATTTTAACAACAAAATAATGTAGAATCACAAAGATATATATAAAAAAAAAAAAAGACTAATACAAGCTATGTGAAAAAAATACCATACTACAAATGTGAACTTTAATATAATGCTTTAATAATAATGACAATAAAAAATACCACAAATAGCGTAGTGCCAATTTTCTACAGGTACCACAAATAGCTTCTTTATTTGTACAATAACACTGAGTATAATAAACTTAAAAAATCAAATCTTGTCATGATAGACCATAGATAGATCATGACAATCAGGAAGAAAATGGTAATGGAACCTACACTGCTCTTTCATCGGAACAAATATTTGACATTCTTTCTGTTCTTCCTTCATTTTCCTCTTTCTCCTTCTTCCTTCAACCCGTTGTTTCGTTCTTAATCTTCTATTCTTATATCTTATCTCTATTCTTATTTATTTTAATGTCTAAATTTCAAAGAAAACTGCACAATGAAACAAACAAACATATCTTTTGAGTTATAATGACGAGGATGAAATTATAAACCGTTAGAATTTCTGTGTGCCGATACTGCATATACAAACAAAGGCATCTTTGCAATAATCTTGGAAAAGAGCAATAATTTACTTATGTAAAAAAAGAAAAAGAAAAAAGGGAATGAAAGAAAACAAGAAATAATATACACATACTGCTACTCTAACTTTCTATCCTCTCTCTGTGTCTGTCTCTCTCTTTCTCTCTCTCCCTCTTTCTCTTTCTCTCTCTTTCTCCTTTTCTCTCTCTCTCTCTCTTTTTCTCTCTCTCTCTCTCTCTTTTTCTCTCTCTCTCTATTTTTCTCTATCTCTCTTTTTCTCTCTCTCTCTCTTTTTCTCTCACTTTCTCATATATGTATGTGTGTATAAAAAACACACACACACACACACACACACACACACACACACACACACACACACACACACACACACACACACACACACACACACACACACACACACC